CCCTTACTATATGTGCATTTTTGGACATCGAGGGAGCGTTCGACAATGTGATTCCTTCCATTTTAATTGAAGATTTACAACGTCTTGGGATCCCTCTCAAAACTGTTAAATTCATAAGTAATCTTCTTTCCAACAGACAAATCATGTTCATTTGTGATGGCGAGCTTAAAGGTTCATACATTGCTTTAAAAGGTAGCCCTCAAGGGTCCATCCTTAGTCCTTTGCTCTTCAATCTCTACTGTGCGGATATTAATAAATGTCTACACGAGGACACTCTCTTCTTACAATATGCGGATGACGTTGTTATCTTCTCATCAAACCAAAATGCTGAAGATACTAGATCGTCGGTCCAATCTTCACTAAACAATACACATGCTTACTTGAGAAACAGGGGCTTCGAAGTTTCCCCCTCAAAAACCCCTCTTTACAAGGAAGAGACAGTCACATCCGGACATTAAACTACACATTCAGAATGTAAAAATTCCTAGAGTACAATCTGCCATCTTTCTGGGCTTCACCCTCGACCCCAAGTTGAGCGGCAAAGAGCACCTAAAGACTTTGGTCAATAAGGGACGCAATCTTACTCTATATACTAATATACTAGCAGTTCTCGCAGGCACTAAATAGGGATCTCATCCAAGCTTACTTCTCATCCTTTACAGAGCTGTATTTCGCTCTGCTATCGAATACGGATGTCAAGTATTCAAGCTCAAGGGCAATAAGACGGAATTTTTACATCTGGAACGGTTAGTCAACAGAAACCTGCGTCTTGCTCTCGGATACCGACTATCTACACCTATTAGCGTCATTATGGCCGAAGCAAAGGAAACTCCTCTTAACATTAGATTTCTATATGACCTCGAAGTTCATCTATAAGGCTTTCTGCAGGAAGAACTCCCCAGTGTTATACAGTTTTGAAAACTTGGAACAGGCTGCATACTCCCCCTCAAGAAGACAGCGGGCCCTAGCTACTGTACCCGCGTTCAAGTACTATGTAATACAGAAATACTCACTTAAAATCATCCACAGATCCAACGTGCTTTATGCTTATAAACACAGTTATGAAAGCTATACTTATGTCCATCAATTTGACAGTTCCCTCACCAACGTTCCTAAGAAGGCGAATAATCGAATATACCAAGCCCGATTCCTAGAAACTATAACCACGTACGCTAATCGCGGTCCCATTATTTACACCGATGGCTCCGTTAGCGAGAATCGCGTGGGCTCCGCAATCTATTCACCAGATCTTAACGTTGCACTCAAGTTCAAGCTTCCCCCGGAGACTTCAATTTTCTCGGCCGAGTCTTAGGCTATTCTTCAGGCGATTAATCTTATTGAAGATCGATATTGTGACGAGGCTTCCATCTGACTCTTTAAGTGCTCTTCAGGCTACATCGTCTCACAACTCTAGAAATGCGAACCATATTACATTAGATATTAAGGATCGTCTGTCCTTTTTAACGCAATATGGTTTCAAAATTAATTTTATTTGGACTCCTGGTCATAAAGATATAATCGGTAACAAGACTGCAGACCACCTTGCCAATGAGGCCGCCCTTAGTGGACATCGGCCTAAATTTAAAATATCATTTCAAGATTTTTTATGGTCTCCAAGCAATCTTTCAACACTAAATTTCAAGCACACTTAGATCACTGCACATCATTTAAAGGGCAGCTATATGACTTTCATAGAAATAACTCAGCTAAACCCTGGTTCTATCATAAAAATCTTAAAAGAGAGGAGATCGTCACCATTTCCAGAATTAGATCTAACCATTATAATT